AAACACACCCCACACACCGGGGGGGAAAAAGAATTTTTGAAGGGAACCAAGTTGGGGGGTGGTTAACTTGTAAAACCTGGGCGTATAGAGTGTTTATTGTCCAGGTTCAAGGGGTCGCAGGAGCGGAGTGGGCTGCTGGTGGTGTATGTGTGTGATGAGAGGATCAGGACAGAGCAGCAGTTGACTGGTGAGTGTGTGCTAGTGCCTCTAGCCGTGTGCTAGTGCCTCTGGTACATACATACAGGGAGTTGCCTTGTGCCTAGAGCATGTTGTATAGTCTAGGAATTCTTGTTGGTGGGTCACAGCATTGTATGTACCTACCATTGTCCGAGTGTTGCACATAATTATGTATATGCGGGAGAATAATGTTTTTAACTAGGCTTCAAGGTGCTGGTACATGTACGTGTGACCACACATTTTTCTCTCTGGTTGATACACAACGTAGTTTGAGTGTTGAGGGGACTGTGTCCACTCATATGGGAGAGAGAGAGAGAGAGAGAGAGTGGGAGGGAGGGAGAATATGTGTGTGTGTGTGGGTGTCTGCATCCCCTCAGCTGCCCTGGAGTACCTCAAGAGCCACCCGGTGGGGGAGGTTGATGAGGAGGAGTTCTCTCGGTACTCTGGAGTCGGTGTCCTCGTCACTCCTCAACAGATACACGATCAGGTATGCACATTATTAACCCTCGCGCGCATGAGCAGCGAGGGTTACTGTAGTCGTTCGTGTGTGTGTGTGTGTCTGTCTGTCTGTCTGTCTGTCTGTTACTCCACTTCTCGAGTGTTCGTTCGTCTCACAAACGATATATACAACCTACTTAACGGGCAACGAAGGTCAGAAATTTCTAAACGGTTTTCTCTGAAAATGCTCCGTTGCAAAGCTAGAGCGCTTCCACCATTGTACGACTAATGCCAGTATTCGCCATTTTATCACTGCGGAAAACGCGCATACGCATCGCCTCGACCGGGTCCGCTTGCTCTGTGTATCTTGAAGGCACAAGAAGACACAACGAAGGGCGTGTATCGACTCCCGCATTCTATCTACTGCAGTAGCTATCCAATGTAAGACTCTCTGCGAGCTACTAGCGGGAGAGACCATGAGTAAACGCATACTAAATAGCCCAGCCCATCAATTAGCGGTACCACGCGTGCGAAGTTCGCCGAGGGTTTGCACTTAAGTGCTTTTCATTATTTTAGTACAATGGCTTTCAGGCCATTTTTATTTCATAGCGCTGTTGTGTGTGTGAAGTGGAAATTTGGCTAATTTGTTGTTGGCTATTTCAACATCACTCACTGCAACACTGTAGCAACTCACAGGTTTTTTTTTGGTAGCAGTGAATATGCTTGGGGTTAAGGTTTTTGTCTCATCTGAGCAGGTGTCAGATTTACTGGAACATCACAAGTCAGAGCTCATGAAACTCAAGTACAAGTTCCCAGTAGGAAAACTAATGGGTAAGCTATGTACATACTGTATGTACTATAAAAAAATTATATTAGATACCACATGGTGTATGGCTGCTTACAAAGTACAGACTTTTCCACAGAATTGAAAAGCACTAAAGTGCAAACCCGCAGCGCACTAGAAATGTCGAATCTTGTATGTGCGGTACCGCTAAATGATGGGCTGGGCAATGTGTTGTCAATTTACTCCCTTGCTAGTCTAGGAGGAGCCTTAGTTTTGAAGCCGTTGGTATTGCTCATTGTTGGTCGCCTCGTGGCCTGTAGTGCCAGTATAAGTGTCGACAGACAGACACACAGACCAACTACTGTAACCCTCGCTGCGCATGCGTGCCGAGGGTTAATTAACCCTCATGTTATACTGCCAAATATCCCTTATGTAACCCGCATTACCCGTCCGTAATTTCACACACTTGCACATGCTAGCGTTTGCATGAGTATGTCTTGTGTTGATGTATGTACATACATGATAGGTGAGATGAGACAGAGGCTGCGCTGGGCTGACGGTAAACTGGTAAAAGAGGTCATTGACCAGCAGTTGGAGGCTCTTATTGGACCTCGCAGCCAGCAGTCTCCTCAGAGTAACATCCAGGTGTGCTGCATGTGTCAACTACGAAGTAGAAAAGCAAAAGCACGGCAAACAAGTCAACGACACCCAGGGCGGCTCTTTTTCCCAAGGAGAAAAAAGAGCTGCCCTAGGTGGGATTCACACTCTGCAGTCTAGGCAAGCGCTCTACCATCTGAGCTATATACCAGGGCTGCTTTAGCTGTTAGTGGACTCTGTGTTTTTCTGTTGAGTTTGGAGTCATAGTATACGGTTTGTGCGTGTCTGTAAGTTGTGTTGTTTGTGCGTATTTGAAGAGAGCGTGGTTCTGGTTTGGCCAGTGTGCTGTTATACACGTACTATATAGTGCACAGAACATAATTATGTAACGTACTGCCGTCAATGATAAATGCAACTTAGACACACGTTTGTGCTCCCAAATTTCCCCTCAAACTTCATACATGTCTCAAACATTGCACTTTTTCGGGAGCCCTAATCTGATGAAAGCGCTGCATTCGTTGTGGTTATCTTCACCTGACATGTCTACCTGATCTCCCCAGAAGAGTGGTTGTGGTGGTAAGAGTGGAGCCAAGGCTGTGGTGAAAGAGAAGAAGGCAGGTGAAGAAGAGGAGTCACGATCTGAAAAGACGGCCGGAGAACTATTTGGAGAGGCTGCAAACTTCCACAAGCCAGGCAAGAACCTCTTACCTGACTCTCCCCAAACAAAAACTTCGAAACTGTTGGCCTTTATTTCCCTCCATTTGTGTTTTTTGCAGTGATATAGTCTGCGGGGAAGCTTACATGTGATTGCCTTACACCATTGCAGCCACTTTTAACGAACGTAGTGTAGTGCATAGGCTTTTAGGCTTTGGGAGGGGCAGTTCCTTGTGTGTCAGGCGCTGAGTTAAAGTACTAGTGGTGGGCATGCTCTTCTGCTATTATCTCTGTACATACACTGTGTCTTACGTATACATACATAACAGGAGAGAACTATAAGACCGAAGGCTATGTGGTGACCCCTCACACTATGAGGCTTCTCAAGAAACACCTGGAGGAGACAGGGGGAAAGGTCAAACCCTTGTATAATTATACTGTCCTCTGTTAACTGAGTGTTGTGCAACTCTTCATAACAGGTGGTTACAAGGTTTCCTCCGGAACCTAATGGCATTCTTCACATTGGCCATGCCAAGGCCATCAACTTCAATTTCGGATATGCCAAGGTATGTGTTTGTTTGACTCTGTTGGCTTGCTTGACTATACAGAATATGCAGTGGGTATAATGTGGTTGTTGGTAGAACATGTAGTTGACTAGCCTTTCTACCTCATTATATACCTCGTTGTTGACACATGTATACTGTACGTATGTGTACGTGATGCATGCCCTGACTGCAGAGTGTTGTGAATTTAAGTGCCCCCCAGGGCTGCTTAAGTGTTGTCCACTTACGATTGATACATGTACAGTACGTATTATGCATACTGCTGTAAGTATCCATGGTATTATATGTGCGTGTCTGTGCACTTGTACATAATATTGTGGTGTTATTACTGTATGGCAGGCTCATGGAGGAATAACGTATCTGAGATATGATGACACCAACCCGGAGAAGGAGGAAGAGAGGTTCATTCGAGGTATCCAGGAGATGGTCAAGTGGCTCGGTCAGTTACGCTTCCTACTATTGGTAGCATACTGTACGTCTCATTATGGTTGTGGTTTTTATAGGCCACAAACCATACAAGATCAATTTCTCCTCCGATTACTTTGGCCAACTCTACGAGTGGGCGGTAGAGCTAATCAAGAGGTAAGCCCCTTAATCTTTCGTTGCACAACACGAGAAGCAGTAATTGGTGCAAAGGAAGATACAATAATGAAGTGTGAGACTTAGCTTCGAAGGTCTTACATAAAAGAGCCAAACTCCACACATGCCCTGATGTAAAGGTAGCAACTAATTTATAAAGGGATTGTTGCTAAGCAGGAACGTGTGTGTGTGTGTGTGTGTGTGTGTGTGCAGGGGGCATGCATATGTGTGTCACCAGACCCAGGATGAGCTGAAGGGACACAACCCTCCTCCGAGTCCCTGGAGGGAGAGACCTGTTGAGGAGAGCCTACTTCTCTTTGAGGTCTGTCTCACCATACATTCACCACCTATATGTGTGTGCGCGTGATACAAGTATAATGCCTAGTAGTGAGTGCATATTGAAGCATAGGGGTGAACACTGTTTTTTTGTTTACTGCAGGATATGAAGCGTGGAAAGTTTGAAGAAGGAGAGGTATGTAAGTAATAGTTTACACAGTCGAACCTCTACAATGGCCCTATGTATATATGAATAAAAGGCTCCTCCATGTAAGTGCACTCTTTCCCCTGTCCCCAGGCCACCCTGCGTATGAAACACGTAATGGAGGACAGCAAGCAGGACCCAGTGGCCTACAGGATCAAGTACACCCCTCACCCCCACGCCGGGGACGCCTGGTGTGTCTACCCCACGTACGACTTCACCCACTGTCTGTGTGACTCCATCGAGAACATCAGCCACTCTCTGTGCACCAAAGAGTTCCAGGCCAGGTTTGTGTAGGAGATCGCTCTATTGGGTGGTTTAAAATTATGCGATTTTCTTTTCGCAGCATGTTGTGTGCTTTAACTTGCATACATATGTACGTGCACGTGCATACTCATAGGTCCCACCTTAGCAATACCCTGTGTAATCACAGTTTTACTGTTTTATTACGAGGCATAAAATGTAGTGATGTATTCAGAAGATAACCCATCAACTGCGTCGTATACATACATCCTCTTTTAAGAGAGCTGTCCTGGGTGTAGTTGACTTGTTTGCTGTGCCTTTACCTTTCTACCTCGTAGTTTACACAATGCATAATTTATGGAGTACTGTATGTACTTAATTACATTGCACACTAGACGGTCGTCGTACTACTGGCTGTGCAATGCCCTGGACCTGTACTGCCCGGTCCAGTGGGAGTACGGGAGACTCAACCTCCAGTACACCGTCGTCTCCAAGAGGAAGATCCAGAAACTCATCGGCGGAGGGATTGTCGCCGACTGGGACGACCCACGGCTCTACACTCTGACGGCCCTCAGACGAAGGGGCATACCCCCTGAAGCCATCCATAAGTTCACTGCCAAGGTCAATAAGCAACAACAGGAGAGCTGTCATATTATGATACATTATACTTAAACCGCTTAAACTCCTATAATTATGAGGAAACTGCTCGATTATGGACTCCTTAAATTTCCTGTATGTACACCTTCTTCTGTCCCATTCATGTCCAGAGTAGCAGGTACGTACAGTACAGTAGATACAAGCGTACCAGCAAGTGAAAGCTACGTACTATTATTAGAGTGGACTTATGCAGTGGCGTGTGCTGAGTTGTCTTCCATACATTGAATGCTGTGTAGGTTGGGGTGACCATGTCTCAGGCAATACTGCATCCTAACCTCCTGGACTCCTGTGTCCGTGATGAACTCAACAACACGGCCACCCGGTATGACTCTCTCATCCCTGCATGTGTACGGCATCTTGTAATGTTTCTGCAGAGTTATGGCCGTTCTAGATCCGGTCAAGGTTGTGGTAGAGAATCTGGCTGATGTACAGGTGAACTAGCGAGCAGTTCTTTGTGTTTCCGACGTACAGTACATTGTACAGTGGCCCCACTGATTTGTGTATTTTTCACAGGCTCTGGAAGTTGAAGTTTTGAACATACCTCACCTCCCCGGAAAGGGTGCACACAAGGTGTTCTTTGATCCGTCCAATCTGTACATTGATGCTTCTGACTTCAAGGAGGTATATACACAGCGTCACATGCACACAATACATATACATTATTGCCGAGCGAAGCAAGCATACCTAGTCGTCTGAACGTGGGATATTTCTATGTATTTGTTTCTTTACATGTTACGGACACTGACACTGCAACGTTTTATGTGTTTACATGTGTGTAACACATGCGAAAATGCTTGCCAATGTTACATTTGTTGTAGTAGTGTTTCTGGTGATGGTCTTCTGTGGTGTTGTGTAGGTAGCAGAGTCTGGGTACAGGAGACTGGCTCCAGGACAGCCAGTTGGTCTCAAACATGCTGGCTACGTCATCTCCCACCTCAGAACTGAGAAGGTCAGGTTACCTGTCTGCTGGATCAGTTGTTACCCTACGCCCTCAGAATAATCCCTTCCATTCCAGCCAATGTCCTGTTACACCTAGTGGTGTAATTTGTATTTATGCACCGTTACCCCTTACAAAGTTCCATGTTGGCTTTGTGTTGTAAAGGTTAGGGTCATTGCACACGTGGAATAATGGCTTCCCCTCCACATTATGTTATATGCTACATATCAGGTTCGATTGTACCTATTGCCCCTTAAAATATTGCTCTCACTCCAATCTCTACTCATGTAAGTATTTTAGACAGGCTGTAAGTAAACTGTATGTGTGCAGGACTCTTCAGGGAGTGTGGCGGCAGTGGTAGTAGAGGCCCACAGAACTGAGGAGGTGGACAAACCAAAGGCCTTCATCCAGTGGGTGTCCAGACCTGTTCCCTCCGCCGTCCGCCTCTACTACTCCCTGTGAGCTAACTCACACACCCATCGTCTTATGCACTACTTATGGTAGCTCATCCTATAATAATATTACACATGCATGGGCAAAAAGTATTATACTACAGTAGAACCGCCGAATAATCTGCTCTTTTGAGGTTAAAAATGTACTAGAAAGTGAACGTTTCAGACTTTATAAAATGTGACCTTCATTTTCTCTATTGCGTCATTCATTTGGAGTGTCCTTTATCAAAGGTTCTACTGTATTTGGTTGACTCGTTCAATGCGTGTTGGGTCTAGAATTCAATAGCTGTGTGTAATGTACAGGGTTGCAAATGCTCTTGCCACACTCAGATTCCTACATCCTAACCCTGAGGATCCAGCTAAGGTTCCCAATGGATTCCTCTCTGACATCAGCCCTGTATGACATCACACACTCACCACTCCGTACCAAAAACTATGATCCTGTGATGACATTCAGAATACTGCCATATGCATGCACTCTCAAGTCTTTTCACATCTGCATATACTTTGCGTACTGCTCATGCAGTAAAAAGTACAGTGCTAGAATCAATAATTGCACTGAGGTTTTCTCTTCCTTACTATAGAACTCTATGGAGGTCAAGAGTTCAGCGATGGTGGATGAGACGGTACTGGAAGCTGGGCCACTGACCGGGTTCCAGTTTGAGAGGATTGGATACTTCTGTGTCGACTTTGACTCCACTCCCCAACAGGTTATATATACACACTGACAAAATTACCCAAAATTCTTGGCACGCAATGTGCTGAATGAGTGAATCTGTCAGTGACTAGTTCTACATACTTGCATAAAGTTTAACCGACCCTACTTTCCACGATAACTCCATAGGATGTTTGCACTGCGCACCCAAGATATACTGGAGGTATTTAGGATTATTGGCTGGCCTGCCTGTTTCCTCACTTGCTTGTTATAAGTACAAAAGGTTTATTCCACTCCATTTTCCACGATCATCCTAAGGATTTTTGCACAATCTTCATGCATGCACATTGTCAAGTCTGACAACCAATGGCACAGTGGTATATAGCAGACAACATTCTATACATCATGCTGTGGATAATGAGATTAAAGGTTGCCCCTCTGTTAATTACAGATGGTGTTCAACAGGACAGTTAGTCTGAGAGAAGATTCTGGCAAGAGCTGACCACGTACCAATAACTCCTGTTCAAAATTTTCTCAATAATATCATGACTGATTAGAGACTAGCTGAATGTACAGCAGTGGCTGGTTGTGTCTGCCCATCTGTTTTGTATGCAACCGTAAGCAATATTCACTGTAGGCTGTAGCTGATGATACAGGACACAAGTAAGATAATTTGTTTCAGGTCAGCATCTACAACAGACACCTTAGCTAATTAATACCAACATACCAGTTCCCTTAGTATATAAAAACTCCCTTCAATCAATGACATTCCCATGGCGAACGCGGAAGCGCCTCGATGAAAGTGCGCATGCGCACCAACCCTGTGCCCCCCGCCCAGCAGCAGTGCTAGTGGGGGGAGGTGTGGCATCATGCTAAAACGGCGTGAAGACAGCACGTGGAGACAGGGACTGAAGAAGTTCTATGGAGTCTCAGCTTCCAGGAAGTGGCAGCAACTGGCAACGGACATAGAGTGTGTAGCTAATGGTCTCAAACCAGCCTACCTGCTAGACGTTCTCTCGCCCAGTCCCCATCTCTTCCGTTCCTTCCTGGACCACGTTCTGTGTGAGCAGCGGGGCAGTGATCCTCAGAGATCAGCAGTCGTCCAGAAATGGCTGGTTGAACTGAGAGTGGTTTCTCTGGGAAGTGACGTGCTACTCATAAACAAGACTGCCGTAGAGAAATTGTTCCAGAGCTCTTGCGTGTATGTAGACATCAGTGAAACTGAAAACAGAACTAGATCTGAGAAACCTGATGCCCATATCAGAATACACTCTTCATCCGATGTAGGGGAAGAGTGTAGGCACTGGTACTCCACATTGATGGCCACTGAGACAGCACATGAACCGAGCAAGAGTAATAACTCCGTGATTCTGTTAACAGTGCCACTCGATCCAGACCTGAATGTGTGTACTCTGTTTGGCAGACTGCTGGGTTATCCAGTGGTCTACTGGTTCCCGCCTTCCACTGACTACTGTCTAGACTATGTGGACCTAGTGAGGCATCAGGTGACTCTCTCCAGTGGCAGCCACAGCTTAGGAAAGGTGATATCCCCTCCAATGCACCATCGTACCTACTGATAGCGGGAAAGTTTAGAGTTCCAAACCAGCATTATTATTACGAGAAAAGAGTGAAGTTTTAGTGACTCTGACCATCTTCCCACTATAGGATCACCAGCTCTACTCATTCACTGTACCGCATTGTGTGGAGTCGTGTACTAGTGACACTGTGGCTGCCTGGTTTCAGGGATTGAGTGAAAAGGCAGTGATGCTGGGAATGAAACTGAATATGAGTCAGAGTGCTATCTCCCTCCCCACTGTTGTCTTATGATCATTGGCAAACAGTGTGTACATCATGTCTTACGATTAATTTTGCTTCTCTCCTTTATGTTGATATATAGCATATGGTTATGTGATGAGACACTATAATAATTATAATCCTATAAGATTGTATAATTATTATGGCTACAGAACTCTTACACAATTTGTAAGGTACCGTATATAAAGGCGGGTGTACTTCCTGGATACCTATAACTTCCTGTCTCGATCCTCACAAGCACTATGACCTCAGTAATTTCCACCTACACTTTAAGCCATGTTTGTACCACAGGTAGTTCAGTACATTCGCAGTAGTATGATCACTGTCTCACTCATGAGTTATTGAGTTCCTGTTCCCCATGCTATAAAAGAGCTCCCAATCCTTGCAGACTCAGTTTAGCCCCTTCTATTAGAGCTAAAGATGGCAGAGAAAAACATCGAAAAGCAAAGTGAGGCGGTGGGAGGTGAAGAAAACAAAGACAGTAGCAGACAATCTGACTCATTCAAACTGAGTGGTCCAGGAGTAACGTCTTCAACTGCCAACCACCAGACACACGTCCTGCTGGAGCTAACAGATGTACTAGGTGGCCCACCCTACAGTGTCACAGCTGAACTAAAGGCCGAGGTGTCCAGTAAACTCCCACGATGGCTGAGGAAGAAACCACAAACCGATGTAGTGGTAACCGAAAAGTCGCCGTCACAGTTTATCATTCACTACGGTGTTGCCAGTCGAGGAAAGTACAAGCTCCACATTCGGGTAAACGGCTCTGAATTACAGGGTAGCCCCCTGGATATTGCTGTCTATCCAGACCCGTCCCAGCTCCGGCCACAGGTAAAGGTGATATACACCATAGGGTTGGTTTGGGGTCTGGCAGCAAACAGTCAAGGGGATCTTCTGGCCACAGCATTTGGTGCCAGCAAAATCCATGTCCTCAGCAAAAAAGGAGTGGTAGTTGGATCACTAGGCGACAAAGGCTACGGCCCTGCCCAGAGAGTTAAAGCTCCTATGGGACTGACTGTGGATGCTCACGGCAACATTTACGTCAGCGAAGAAACAAAGGTGGTAAAGTTGGGAGCCGACGGAAGCCTTCTGGTCGGCGTTGGGAGACTGGGGAGGGGAAACAGGGAGTTCAACATGCCCGATGGAATAGCAGTCTACGATGGAGAAGTCTACGTCTGCGACAAGGGGAACAATCGAATTCAAGTCTTTGACACCGAGCTAAAGTTCAAGAGAATACTGACGTGTAAGATGCCGGAAGGTAGGCCGCGAGGATTCAGAGCACCGAGTGCCATTGACGTTGACTCCAGCGGAAGGGCCTACATTGCAGACAGCGGGAACAACCGCATCGTAGCGGTGGAGCTCCAGACTGGAGACCTTCTACGTGAGATTGGTCACGAGGAGGGAGAGGGGAAACTGTACAACCCCACTGGTCTGCACGTGGTAGCCGAGTTTCTGTACGTCTCTGACGACGATAATTGCAGGGACGTCATCTTTCGCACCACTGGAGAGCTAGTCGCTACTATGCCGAGAGGTTCCCCTGTGGGGCCAGTGAAGGGACCGGTCAGGTTTGCCTCGGACAGAAACGGTTTCGTCTATAGTCTAGGATCTTTTGGCAAATTCACTACTTACTGAATTGACAATTATTTACCTATGGTTACTTAAACTCTATACCATGTAAATTACCACTAGTCATGCTTGCTAACCTCTATCGTTCTGTTTCCTTCCCCCACATCGATTTCCCTATGTTATTGCAGAGGCCCACTGAGCATGGTCACCTCTAGCCACATTTCCGGCCTTGTTCCTAGCGCAAAAGACCTGGGAATGAGCACTGTCTGAGAAATGGGCGTGTCACTAGTTTCTCAGCAGCAAAAAAATATGCAGATATACAAGTGGGAGGACATGCAAAACAACACAGATCCCCAAAGGATGTCATGTGGGGTGCAGAGTTTGGAATGCTGTACTATTGTGGTTAAACGTGAGACTAATAGCTGATGATTGGTGGCTGCTGGGCTGTGTCTGGATTGTGGTAAAATGACAGTACACAGCTGCTCACTCCCCAAGAGTTTCGTGGTCAAAGTCAAACTCTCCATGGCCAGGGCCAACCTTCCTCAGTTGAGATACGTAGTCTCCCATCTGCTTCATTGCCTCCACTTTCTCTGTGAGGAAACTGCTCTCTAGGAAATCTTCCATCTGGATGTAGGGGGGAAGAAGGAAAGAGGAATGAAGGGAGGATAGGAGAGAGGGAGGGAGGGTGGAGTAAGAGAGGGAGGGAAAGAGAGAGGGAGGGAGCAGTAAGGGAGGGATGTAAGGGAGAGAGGGTGTGAGTGAAGGAGCAAAAGGGTATTAAACGGCGTGTCAGTGTGTGACCAAGGAGTAAAGGAGGGTGTTAAACAGTGAAGAAGAGGAGGCACAGAGAGAGAAGATGTAAGATTAACAAGACAAGACTGGAGGAAGCAAAGAGAGGAGGAAAGGAGTGAGAGACTGTAGTGAACTCACATTGGCATCACCGTGAGTGTCGGCAAGCTTTCGGAGGTCAAGGAGCGCCTGGTTCACCGTCTTTTCCAGATCCATTGCTGTCTGCATGGCCTCCAGGCCACTCCCCCACTCGTCCTTGGCTGGCTTCTTGATGTCTTGGAGGACAACGCAGCCTCCTCGGTCGTTCTGATACTTCATCAGGGTCCTGGCATGCTCCAGCTCCTCAGAGGCTGACTTGCGGAAGTACTTGGCAAAACCAGGCAGAGCCACATCGTCACGTTCAAAGTAGTGTGACTGTTGAAAGAATGATGAAATAGCGGGAAAGCATGGGCATTGCTAGCATTGAGGCAGTCCCTCCTGTTTTTTTAATGAAAAATTCGTTACAACTTCACAGTCTCTTAATGCCGCAAAAAAGCGAGAAATGTGAGAGCTTATGAGCATCATGGCAAGCACTCAAGAGCAGACATATCCCTGTTACAAGCTTTGGATATGGGCATTTTGTAATCACGAAGGGACTGCGCCAGTAAATAGAATTATTAATAATTTCTGCCTCCTCTAAGATTCAATCCTGGCTACATCCCCTGGAAATTATAGTATATAGAAACATGAGTATTATCGCGGGGGAAGGAAGGAAGTGGGAAGTCAAGTGGAGACTCACCATGGAAGTGTACGTGTAGAAGGCATAGAGCTCGAGGTTTATCTGCTGGTTGATGCCCTTTTCGCAGTCTTCGTGGTAGTTTTGGCGTATTTGACTCATTGTATATACTCCCTTCCATCGAAACACACCGAGGAAAACAAGGAAAATCCTCTTTCACCTGCGCATGCGCAATTTACTTGCGCGTGCGCCCAATGCGCTTTAGCAACCTTTGCTCGCTCACGTGCATTGCTGACGAGGCATTTTTAGCGAACAACAGGACAGACATACAGTACTAGAAGATGCCGTCTGTTCCAGAGGAACTGAACGTGTACCGGCGACCTCACAGTCTCATGGTGAAGCTAGTGAACGACATAGAAAGAGAGGTACGTGCAACAAGGCCCTTCGCGCCCGTAACACTTCGTACACCGAGAATAGTCTTGATACCTAAACCACCAAAGGGAGCCTAGTATTTGGAGTTCGAAGTTCTCATACGTGCTAAGCAGTCTTGTTCACTCCTGAACGAGCTCTTAGGGTCCCAACGTTCTTGTTTATGGCTAGGGGTTGACACAGGAATCCTGTGTAAGCTGTGTAATACACTTTAATACTGAAGACCGTTATTTTCTCCCCAAATTCAGTTGTCAGCGACCGACTTTTGTGATGCCCAGTCGTATCTGCAGCTCCTGGGCCACTTGAGTACCAACTTCCACGTGTTCCAGACCCACGAGGAGATAGAGAATCGCTACATTGTGGGGGAGCTGATGCCGCGCCTCCCCTGCAACCACAAGGCCAAGCTGGAGAACGATCTGCACTCCGATAACAGGTTCGTTGGCCAGGGGCCAAAGGGGGAAGTGGTTGCAGCGCTTTGAATAATCACGAAGAAGCCAACAATGCATGAGGATAGCCGATGTTATCGAATGTGTATAAAAGTACATGTTACACTTGTTTTGAATGTCCTCTGGATTCAGCATTGTTCACTATACGTTTATTGTGTGTGCATAATAGGGGGATTTGAAATCTTGTATCTTTTATCTAGTGTCTTTTAACCATGTGGCTGCTTCTTTTGTGTGCAAAAGCAACTCTGTTGGCTTCTTTCAGTGAAGAATACTCTCTGTGAGAGTGCTTACTACATGCTCATTAGTCATTCACTAACTTTAGTACATACAATGACCAATGTGTGCCCTGTATGTTCCCACAGGTTGTCGACTCTGGTGAATCTAGTTAGTGAGGGGCTCCAAATGGGGTGGTGTTCTGAGGAGGCGAGAGTGGACTTTGGCGAGAGGCTCAAGACAGCCATTGCCAGTTTCACTGTGGACTTTCTCCCTCACATGAGGGAGGAGGAAGAGGTGTGTGTTTGTGTGTGTGTGTGAGGGGTATTCTGTGTGTATCAACGGGCGTATATTACTCCGTAACAGGAATAGGACAGTTGAAATGCACAGGCCAGGAGGGAAAGAGAAAATAGGGAAGGACAAGCAGTGTGCTGTATGTGTGCTCACTGCATAGTGCACTAGACTTCTAGTCACAATGCCTGAGTTGACTCCCAACAGAAGTTGGATACTCTCTTTCCTTCCTGGTCAGTGTGATACAGTCAACATAATAGATAATAGTTGGGACATTTTGAGGAACATCACCTTAGGGGTCTTTCTGCTTTTTCGGCAAGTTTGTGTGTGGGAGGGTTTGTCAATTTCGTTTCCAGCTGCAATGTATTGCTCGTGAATTACTGAAAGGGTGGGGGTGTAAAGGATATTCATGTGGTGTGCAGTGGGAGATGTGCATGAAATTGCATACCAGCCATAGGTATATATAGATAGATATAATTATAGATAGAGAAATAAATATGCATCTGTAGTGTACACGTGACATTGCATATCTCGGACTGAGTGCAGGATCGATGTGCTTACAAACATTGAGTTTTAATTACCAATGTCTTATCTGTGCCTCCATGTGCATTGTGCAATCAGCTACAATGTGTATGTACATATGTACAATGTTTGCCTTTGTCTCGCATTATTGTTTCACGCACACACACGTTCATAATGTTCTACTTGTTTGAGTTTTACTTTGCCTTCTGACCTCATTTTCCACAACATTGTACGTGTATATGTAACACCATTGTATTGTGTGGGTTTATGAACCTTACACCATTGTGGTCGTGTGGCAATCTTACAACCAATAACCATGTGTGTCCTGTAATTATAACTCTATGGTAGCACTACTGGACATGTCTGTATGATACTGTGCAGGTGTTTCTGCCTCTGCTGGTCCAGTATTTCTCAGAGCCAGAGCTAAAGAAACTGACCAGAGATGTCATCGAGCTCCACCATCTCAATGACTTTGGTACACATTAATTAATAAACCTTTACATTGGGCTTTAATGGTTCCAAAAACTAACTACTCCTCGGCCCCAAATCATGGAATTATCTATAGAGCACATTAGATTGGGGAGTGTACAATATGAAACAGATCATCTACAGTACTTGTGACTTGCGTGGGCGGATCAAGAGAAAGGCCTGCTTCCGCGAGTACGCCATTTTTCCCGCCCGATTGTTACGACTGCGGGTTTCAAGCACTCTCGTACACTATGAGGCCAAACAGTCGGCATCTACCTGATCGGTGTTGCCACCACTTTACATCATAGGTATTATTACCCTTCGTCCTGGCGATCTTCGCTGCCAGTCGCATCGCCCATCATGGTGTGGCTAGAACTCCGAACAAGCAGATAGTCCAGGTGGCACACCTCCCGCAGCTCCTGGACCCTCTCCACCACATTCTCAGGGGAACCCACAAGCAGGGTGCGTGGCTCCAGGAAGTCCCAGTCCAGCTTCACGTCAGGGTCCAGGACCTCGCCCGGATTGGTGAAGACCTGCCTGCCGCGAAAGGGATCGTTGAAGATGAATGCGGACATGATGCCTTCTTCCGCATCCCGGCGCGCCTCCTCCATCGAAGAGGCGACATACGTGGAGCGCATGACCGCCTGGTCTTCTCCCACAGCGAACGGTCTCCCTCCAGCTCGCTCCTGACCTGTGCGTAGAGTTCCATTCGCTGCCTGATCCTGAGAGCAGGGCGGCTGCCAGTAGCACGCTTTCAGACCAAGCTCGGCCGCAGTTGTTACGGATCGATCTGTGGAGACGGTCATCCACAGCGGCGGGTGCGGTTTCTGGTAGGGTCTCGGCGTCACCCGAAGCTTCGTTACCCTCTCCCCTTCCTGCCAGGCGGGATTCGACGGATACTTTGGGTGCGAGAAGACGGTGTCGGTCGTCGACAGGGAAGGTGTAGTTGGTCCCGTGGTGCGAAAAGTATTCATTGGTCCAAATCTCCCGCACTACCTCCACCGTCTCCGAAACAGCTCCCTGTTTTCCTTGTCCTTGCGAGGGTCCGCGTTGGGATGAAACTGTGGACCCTCATATGGCCAGATTCCCCTGCCGAAGCCGACCTCCAGGCGGCCGCCGGTCATGTTGTCCAGGATCGCAAGGTCTTCAGCAAGCCGTATCGGATGCCACCACGGAGCTATGTTCGCCATCTGTCCGATGCGAATCCTGGACGTCCGCGCCGCGAGGTCTGCGCCCAGCAGAATCGGGTTCGGCAAATCGCCCACTCCATAGGGCCCAAAGTGGTGCTCTCCGAGCCACATGGCCTCGAAGCCGAGCTCCTCGGCCAGAATGGTCTGCTGTCTGAGGGTTGTCGAGGTGTTCCCCAGCGCTTGTGGCTCTCCGGCAGATCCCGCCACCGTTGTGAACGCTGCGAACCTCATGACCTGGACCTCCCTTTGTCCTGCTCTTGAGAGATACTCCGGCGATGTTCGTCGATAGGGACACAACAGGTGCCATGACGCCCATCCCCGGGCGTTGGCAGGCGCTGCTTTGCGCCCCTGAACGGTCGTGTTACGCTGGGAGCCACCTTACTACAGGGGACCTGCGCCATGCCATCAGGCCGGAATCGGGGTCTGGTCCAGACCGTGCTCGGTCCTGTACATCCATCGGAGCTGGGCTTCACCACCACCCACGAGCACCTCTACGTCGACTTCTCCTTCATGTACCGCCCGGCCCAGGACTCGCCGTCCCGGAGCTGGCGGAGGCGCCCATAACCCTCGAGAACCTCGGATGGATACGGCGTAACTACTACAGCAACCGCTCCAACCTTGAGCTGATGGATCTGGATACAGCCATCGGCGAAGTCCGGAAATACAGTGAAATAGGCGGCGGCGCGATTGTGGACGCGACCACCACGGGCATCGGCCGCAACCCGAATGCCCTGGCCCGAATATCCCGCGAATCGGGGCGTTCATATCATTATGGGCGCCGGTTTCTACGTTGAGGCGGCTCATCCGGAAGATAGGACGACCGAAGCGCGGATGATCTTGCTCGGGAAATCATCGGCGACTTCGTTGAGGGCGTTGAAGGCAGCGGCGTAAGAGCGGGCATCATCGGGGAGATTGGTTGCACTTGGCCTCTGGCCCCGAACGAGCGCAAGTCTCTGGCGGCGGCGGCAATCGCCCAGAGAGAAACGGGCGCGCCAATAATGGTCCATCCTGGACGGCATCACGACGCACCGGTGGAGATACTGGAAGTGATTGCGAACAGCGGCGGGGATATTTCCCGCGTGATCATGGGACATCTGGACCGGACAGTGTTCGACTTCGAAGCGCTTCAGCGCATTGCAGCGATAGGCTGCTTCCTCGAGTGGGACCTGTTCGGCAATGAGGGGTCCTACTATCCTAGCTCGCCGCGAACTCGACATGACCCAGCGTACGACTCAGATGCTGGAATTTATCTTAAAGCGTCTGGCGCATCGCGACGCCGGCTCTATTCCGGCAGAATCGTGCATTGGTCAGGACATTCTTCCGAGTACAACCGCTTGTGAATAGTGGCGGGCGGCACGGCTACGGCCACATCTCGAGAACATCGTTCCCAAAAATGCGGCAGCACTAAAGGGAGTTCTCTGAGAATGCGATCGTGTCGGTGCTGTAACGGTGGCAACAACCAGCGGCCCGGATACTCAGCTTTCGCATAGTCCGCACTGTGCTTGCGCTGCCATGACACAAACAGAGCCTCGACCAGTACCAACAAACGCGCTCGTTGCAGGTTACGATAAGCTAGTGGTTTCAAGTACTTTTTTTTTGTATTGGATGGGTAAAGTGAGCTTAGCTTGATGTCGCGCATTCTCGGTATTGAAGCGCCAATCACTCTGTTCATCACATCCCTGGTGGATTCGGGGCGGTTGCGTGATTCGGTTCTGCCACAACTGCCATTGCCGTCGCCGGCAGGATTTTTGATTGTGCTTCAGATGCCTTCGGTCCAGGCACTGTGGTTGCGACCCAGCACACTCCGATTCTTCTATCCTACCGCCAATATTCCAGGCCAACATCCGTGTTTGGGTGTGTAGTTATCTCCCAACCGCTCAAGCTATATACGGCCTACGCCTCAAGAAGGCTACGAATCCTCTCGTAGAGCGAGGACAGCTGTGATATGTGAGATTGTCCCTTACCAGCACGATCCGTCACAGTGCTGTTTATTCAGGTGGTAGTCTCGTCGACCAGTTTTCCTTGTTCTTTATCACATGCGCCCAGTCCACCTTCGTTGCGACCGCTCTCTGACCTCGACTCGGCGCCATCCGTCCAACGGTGCAAACAGCATGAACAGGCTGCTCACTCCATTGCGCTCGTATTCGTAGTCGTATGCCGCCGATAAGCCGGGCGCTGCGGGACGCGGCACTCGCGTCTCCTTGACTTGCTGTTTGCTCGTCTCATCCATGCACACCAGAACCTCATTCCCATCGTACGGCCGTTGGTAGACCTCCAGTACGTCTTCCATCGCGCACACAACTCCGCGCTCTGACCGGGCGGGATGCACCAACTCTGCTTCAGCACGGCTTCAGTTCGTTTTTTTAAGCGCCTGGCGAACCGTCTCGTGCTAATGGTCTCGACTATCTCACACTCGACCAACTGGTCAGCCAACAGCTTCAGGTCCAACTGGCACGCCCCTCCGGCGTTCCCGCACGCCATCGCTATCACCGTGCTTCACCTTCGCCGTCCAGTCTCTTTTGACGCCGACGCAGTTGCTTTTTGCGATTCAGCGCAGACTCGACCCCCTCCTCCACACAGCGCTTGCGTATTCGCTCGACCGTTGACTGTCCTACACCGAGCGCGCTGGTGATGTCCGCGTCCTTCATTCCCCCGTCCGAGCGTGACTCATCGCTCATCAGCAGAATGCGCGCATGGGTCTGTTTGTACGCCGCAGCCCGACCGCGTGAGACCAAGGCGTTGAGTTCCTGTTGTTCGTCGGTAGTCAGTCTGATACGGTACTTCTTGGTAGACATCATGGTTCCTCCTCGGTTCAACGTTACGATTGAACCCCAAGAGGAACAATGACTATCATGGTCTTCATTTCAATGATGTT